TGATGCAATTTAAAAACCAAATAAGTTTCACCGTGGTATACTTTCATTGGTACATAAAAATAAGGTTCATATAATTAAATACCATGAAAACTTCCCATCATAGTACAGTTACCTCTGCTGCTAACAACTGTTCATTGATATCATATGTGTGTGTGTGTGTGTGTGTGTGTGTGTGTGTGTGTATATATATATGTGTGTATATATGTATATATATATATGTATATATATGTATATATGTGTGTGTATACATACATATACATACATACATACATACATACACACACACACACACACACACACATACATTTTCTTATATAGATAATTCTAGCTTTTCTTTCATTCTTAATGTTGCTTAAAAATAATTTTCTATTCTTTTTTCTCTTTGTGTGTTAGCAAAATAGCCTGGAAGGCTGACGTAACAATAGGTATTAGGGTTGTCTCCTACTCTAGGAAGTCACCTGTTTATGACAAAAATCTTATGTTCATTGAAGTATTCAGATTGTATCATAACAAAATTGCTTGAAGAAGAAAACACTCACAATGGGAAAATTAAAGACAAATTTCAGCTGCTTAAGGTATGAATTGAAGATGATGGCAACATCAAAAGCTGTCAAGCTGTTTGTATTGTGTTTGATGAAAATGAAGAAAGACCCAGTGCCTACATGATCTTAATTTATTTTTTTTCTCTCGTACTTCAAGGTTGAGTCAGCCTTCCAATCTTTCGAGGTCGGTAAAAGGAGGACTCACATTGTTGGGGGCAATATTCTGATTCTGTAAACTGCTTAGAGAGTACTGTAAAGCACTGTGAAGCGGTACATAAGTCAAAGTGCTATTGCTATTGGTATTGCTATATCTCCCCCATCTTCATATTCCCTTATACCTGAACAACTTTCAAGATTGACATTGGTTGTCATTTGGAAAGACTGTAGCCCATGTAACTCATCCTCATCATTTCCTTCGTCTTCGCCATCCTTATCGCTGTCTGATGAAAGCACTGGTGCAGATGAGAGGGCGGAGACTGATTCATGCCTAGAGAGGTCGTGTGGAAAATGAGCTTAATTATATCATAAGTGCAAACATTATCAATTAAAAATAGGTTTGCATACAGCTCCATTTATATGTTACAAATAAAGGTAAAGTCTGGGATTTCTGGAAAATTTTGAATTGGAAAATGAGCATGGTTCCAGTTAATATGTTTATCTTAAAATCCATGGACTACACAAGTATGTGAGCTACATTATTTGATATGAGAAAGAGCCATGAAATAAATCCCTGCTTCTCTCTTGTTTTTTAGAACAAGCAAACATCATACAGCTTTGGAATTGCCAAACTTGCCCAAAATGGGAGAAGAAGAAGAAAAAATCAATGGGACATTCTGATCTTGAAAAAAATTCTAGCCCAACATTTCTGTTGGGATGCTTGTAAAATTCTAAAAATAAGAGCTGTACGTACAATTAAACTTCCCCTACTCAAAATCAACACTACTTCAAAGCTTTTAAACAGTATTAAATTATATCCTTTACTCATTTATTTTTATAATTTTCATTTTAGCACTATTGTAAAAATAAAATCTATAGGCAAAATCGACTACCTTTCTTGGAACAGAAGAATCAGTTATATCGAGGAAAATGATAATGTAAACCCATCTACCAATCTCAGTGTTACATTTTTAGCCATGAAACAAGTAAAAAGGATGTTTGAAGTATCAAAGATAAAAGTTTAATTACAGTGCAACTGATAAGCAGGTATTACTGGCACATCATCTGAGCATATTCAAGATGCATACATACATGATTAGATCTCTTCTCTAGCCAAGAACCTAGAGCAAAGCTTAAGGAATGACAATAATTTGATCCACCAGATTTTCCTACAGTTTATAAATTAACAGGAATACAAAACTTAGAACTAAAGGTTATTCAGTTCTTTAGTATTTCTGTTTTACACAAAGAGGAAATTCAGCCTTTCGTAAGGTAAAAAGGTAAAGGTTCCCCTTGAACATATGTGCTAGTCGCTCCCAACTCCAGGGGGTGGTGCTCATCTCCGTTTCAAAGCCAAAGAGCCAGCGCTGTCCGAAGATGTCTCCGTGGTCATGTGGTCAGCATGACTAAACACCAAAGGCACATGGAACGCTGTTACCTTCCCACCAAAGTGGTACCTATTTTCCTACTTGCGTTTTTGCATGTTTTCAAAATGTCAGGTTGGCAGAATCTGGGACAAGTAACGGGAGCTCACTCCATTACACGGCACTAGAGTCTCGAATTGCTGACTTTCTGATTGACAAGCTCAGTGTCTTAGCCACTGAGCCACTGCGTCCCTTAGCCTTTCATATTAATATGCTAATTAAAACTGCAAGTGTCATTTCCACTGGTCAGATTTATCCACAAAACTGGGTCAGTGACATCCTTCAGGACAGATTTTAAAAATAAAGAAAGATAGTGGTGATGATGACAGTGTGATCCAAACCTTGTCTCTTGTTTTACAATATTAACGTCATATAGCACACAAGTACAAAGGTACATCTTGTTGGTTTTAACCTTCCCTGCAAATTCACTAAACTGAATTGGTTTTGAACATATGAATGACTGTAAGGAGCCACAAAGCTTTCACTAATATGGTGTAGATCTGAGTCCAGATGCTAATAAGTGATGGCTGTCAGCTCTCCAAGGTAAACCAGGAAGCAAACAAAACAAGATGCACTACTTCT